TCCTAGTGATTGGCTCAAAGTCATCCAATTAGCTTTCCTACCTAAGGAGGGACTAGAACTCACCGTCTCCTGGTGATTGGCTCAAAGTCATCCAATTAGCTTTTGTGTCTAAGACAGGACTAGAACTCCCAGTCTCCTGGTGATTGGCCCAAAGTCACCCAGCTGGCTTTCCTGCCTAAGATGGAACTAGAATTCACTCTCTCCTGGGGATTGATCCAAAGTCACCCACCTGACTTTCATGCTAAGACGGGACTAGAACTCACCCTCTCCTGGCGATTGGCCCAAAGACACCCAGCTGGAGTTCTAGTCCCATGTGAGGCATGAAAACTAGCTGGGGGACTCTGGATCAATCACTCTCTCAGCCCAACCCGCCTCACAGGATTGTTGTAGAGAAAATAGGAGGAGGGATGTTCACCACCTTGAATTGTTTATAAAAATAATGGATGCGAATCAAACTGAAAACAAACAAAAATGAACGTGAGAATCCTGGATGTAGAGGAACTGCACTGGTATCGAGAGCAACCTGGTGAAAATGAAAGGCAGTTGCTGCGTCGGAAACTTTAATCAAAATCTTTCTTTCTTCGCCACCCGTACTGCCTTCTTAACAACTCTTCACAAGAAAACTCTTGCACTCTTCCGTACACAATAGAATTCCCTACGCTATCTAGGCTCGAAATTCTTGGTTTGGATAACCTGGAACTGCGTCGCTTGTGGTGGGACCAAGGGATTGCATACAAAATTGTACGTACTAATGTTTTACGTGTAAATGCCTTTTTCTGTTTTAATCTCAATACTGCGTGCGCAAACAACTGCTTTAAACTCAAGGCAAACGGTTCTAAACTTGACTGTAAAAAATACGATTTTTGCAATAGAGCTGTTAACGTCTGGAATGCTCTCCCTCATGCAGTTGTCTCAGCTACACATTTTCAGTTTTAGCCACAAATGGACTTCTCAACTGCATATTTAAGAAGTCCATAAAGGGGCGTGCGTAAGTGCATCTAACATGCCTGTCGTCCCTGCCACTTTATTTTTATTCGTGCTTTAGTTTTTGTTTGATAAATTATAAATAAATACATTCATTTTCCTTTCTCTCTGCTGCAGCTTGTTATGGAATATTGTTTAGGATCAGCTTCAGACTTACTAGAAGGTAAGTCTTTTTCATTTTTTTTAATGAACCCTAATTAATTACAGGAAAAAGTTAGACTTGGACAACGTATTTTCTCAGACTTTAATAATAGTCAGATGTGTCACGTTGTCACGTTTACTTAACAGTGGCTTGTTGAGTACACTGAATTTCTGTCTCTATAAACCATGGTCTGAAAGCCACAGGGACTAAGACATCACAATATATCAAGCAACAAGACATAAACATACTTCAGCTTCAACCACAATAACACACGGGCAAACAATAGGTACAAACTCAAAGTAAACCGCTCCAAACTCGATTGCAGGAAATACGACTTCAGCAATAACAGAGGGGTCAATGCCTGGAATGCTCTACCTGACTCTGTTGTTACTTCTTCAAACCCCCAAAACTTTAACCTTAGACTGTCTGCCGTGGACCTCACCCCATTCCTAAGAGGTCTGTAAGGGGCGTGCATAAGCGCACCAGCGTGCCTACCGTCCCTGTCCTCATGTTCCATTTTTATTAATACTCATTTATTATGTAAATATTTATACCAGTTTATAATTATATGTTTATATGTTATGTCCATACTTATACTGGTTTTCTCATACATGCTTGACAAATTAAATTAAATTAAATTAAATTAAATTAAATTAAATTAAATTGAAAGAAGGAAGGAAGGAAGGAAGGAAGGAAGGAAGGAAGGAAGGAAGGAAAGAAAGAAAGAAAGAAAGAAAGAAAGAAAGAAAGAAAGAAAGAA